TTGGCTTACACTGTGGACTTTGCTAAACTCTTGCAAAGGTCCACAAACCCCAAACAAGTAGCGGCTGGCTTCAGTGTGCCTTGTACCTCTTACTAAATGGTCCTAAGCCTGGCACAAGTCATGACCAGTCTCAACTTGCATTGTAACTCACATCAGGTAGCCCCAAGCCTGTCATAAGCTGCAGCCAGTGTTGGCTTAGCTTCAACTAAGCAGCAACAAACCTGGCACAAGTGGTGGCTGGCCTCAGCACCCCTTTTGGTGCCCACCAAAGGACCACAAGTCCAGTACAAGTGGCAACCAACTGCAGTTCATTTTGTGGCTCCAAGCCAGGGAGAAATGGTTGCTAACCTTGGCCTACACCAGAGCCCCTCCCAAGAGGCTCCAGAACCAACACACCTAGAGGCCAGCTTCAGACCACAGCAGAGCACCAACCAACCAGCTCCATAAACAGCATACCTGAAGAGCAGACCTGGCTGACCCCAGAGCTCCACTAAAGCAACTGTTGCTCCATAGGGTCAGCCCCTGCACAACAGCTTTTCTGCTGTAGTCACAACCAGCCTTCATGGCCAGTTAGCCTGAGTCAGTCCTATCCACCGATATACCAACAAAAATCAAAGCTCAGCTACAACAGAAAAGCACACACAACCCACACAAGGGAAACTCCTGGAGCACCTGGCTCAGGTGAACAGGGAGACACCATCAGTGGGCCTCACAGAGTACCTACTGCATAAGGCCACTCTACCAAGACTAGGAGATGTAGCAGATCTACCTAATACATAGAAGCAAACACAGAGAGGCAGCCAAAATGAGAAAGAAACATGTCACAAATGAAAGAATGAGAGAAAACTCCAGCTAAAGAACTAAACGAAATGGAGGCAAGCAGTCTACCAGATACAGAGTTCGAAACAATGGTTATAAGAATGCTCAGTGAACTCAGGGGAAGAATAGATTAACTTAGTGAAAACCTCTACAAAGAGATGGAAACCATAAAAAAAGAACCAGTCAGAATTGAAGAGTACAATAACTAAAATGAACACATTAGAGGGAATCATCAAGAGATTAGATGAAGCAGAGGATCAAATCAGTGATCTGGAAGACAAGGTAGCAGAAAACATCCAATCAGAACAGCAACAAAAAAAAAAAAAAAAATTTTAAATGAGGATACTTTATGAGATCTCTGGGACAATATCGTAGGGGTACAAGAAGGAGAAAGAGGAAGTAAGGGACTGAAAACTTCCCTTACCTGGAGAAGGAAATAGACATTGTCCCGGAAATGCAGAGTCCCAAACAGGTGAACCCAAAGAGGCCCACACCATACATCATAATTAAAATGCCAAAGGTTGAAAGCAAAAAAATGTTAAAAATCGCAAGAGAAAAGCAGTTACCTACAAGGGAGCTTCCATAAGACTGTCAGCTGATTTTTCAAAGGAAACGATGCAGGCCAGAAGGGATTGGCACAAAACATCCAAATTAATGGAAAGCAAAGACCTACAACCAAAATTACCCAGCGAAGATATCATTTAAAATTGTAGGAGAGAGAGAGTTTCACAGACAAGAAAACGCTAGAGTTCATCACCACCAAACCAGTATTACAAGAAATGCTAAAGGGAAGGGATCAAGATATGCCAATTGTCAGTTATAAAAACAGTCATGGAGATGTAAAGTACACCAAAGGGAATATAGTCAATAATATTGTAGTAACTATGGATGGTGTCAGATGGGTACTAGACTTATTGGGGTGATCGCTATATAAGGTATATAAATGTCTAATCACTATGTTATATTCCTGAAACTAATAATATTTTATGTCGACTGTAATTGAAAAAATTTTTTTAATGGAAAATGTTTAAGATGGTAAATTTCATGTTTTGTGTATTTCATCACGAAATTTTAATCCAAAAATAAAAGAATATAGAGAAGGAATTGGTTTATCAAATAAAATTCATTCAGGCGAGAAGGGAATGTGACATGAAATAGGGAAAAAAAAGAGTATAGGGAGGTAGGGTCCTTTACAAACCATTGCTGCCACTACAGAATCTGAATTCTAGGCTGTACTTGATAGGGTCACCTCCACTTGGTCTTGGGGTCGGACTTTATAGCAGAGCCACAGAGGCTTTCGGAGTTCAACACACCTAGGTCCAGTTCTTGGTGCTGTCCCACGGGAGCTCTGTGCCTGGTACCCTCACCTAAGCCACCTGATTTATCCCCATTTAACAGATAAGGAAACTAGCACCACCTCTCTTACAGAGTGTCAAGGATTCGGTGAGCTGAGGTGACACATAGCACTTAGCATAGCCAGGGGCACTCAGGTAACACTCAGTGGTGCTGTGACAGAGCCCCCAGGGGACCCAAAGCTGCTGCTAAGCACCACTGCCCTTGAACCTGGTCATGGCTGGGAATTAATCAGCCCACTTCAGAAATGCCATCCTCCACAAGCCTCTCTGATCACAATTTCTTGTCCTCCTACCTCTTTCTCTAAGCCCACTATCGTGCTTAGACAAAATATTTCTTCTCTGGCTTTGCAACTGAATCCCTCGAGTAGTAAAAGCAAGCATCCTTTGCTGAGAACCTGCTCTATACTGTCACCTTACAGCTCTTACGCCAAAGCCCAGGCTTTTCCCAGTAGGCCTGTTTTAAACCTCTTTCCATTTTGCAAGTCTTCACCCCTGGTGGCATTCCCCCCATCCCAAACTGATGACATCACCCTATTTTAGGGAAAGGCCAGGCAGTCCAACATGAACATACCTTCTGTCCCTTCTAAGACAGGTCCCCTGTACCATGGTCTTGGTGAACTCTCGCCCACACATTTGTTTGAAGCCACTGGTTGATGAGTCTGTCTCTCTTTAACCTTCACAGACGGCAGGGGGATGTCTCATTCCTTGTGTACCCTGTTCTCACCACTGGGCTTTTCTTCTCCTGGAATTGCTGCCTGGTTTCCCCTTTCCGCTCCTGCCTGGCAGAAGGGAGTCTCCTTCTGCAAGCATACTCCTCTATGTCCCCCACCCTCTGCCTGACCCATTCAGCCCACTCCAGCCCTCTCCAGTATGTGCTGTTGCTACCTTAACCAGCTTTCTCCTGGTGACCTAAACCACACTCAAGTCAACTGTACCCTCATAAACTCTTCTTGCCATTCCTCTAAAGAGGCAAGAAGCTCCTGACCCACCACTTCTTTCCCTGCTAAATGCCACTCCAATGTCCTAGAAAGACAAAAGATGGGAAAGGGCAATAAAATTCTGGAAGATAGAAAACGCAAATGAGTGGCAACTGACTTAGCGGCCTGGAGAAACCAGAAACCTTTGTCCCTATATGGTCAGAAGCCAGCGAGAAGCTAGCCAACTTGTGCCCAGAATATCAGAGAAGCTCCAGACTCGTGGGCCATAGGTGCGAAAAACAGTAGGAGCAGAGAGGAGAGGATGAAATTCTGTACTGGGAGCAGAGACCCCTTCTCCCCTCTGCCCAGCAGAGGACGGGTGGGTTACTGCCCAGAGGGGCTTAGCAAGAGGCTTAGTATTGGGAACACTAGGCCCAGCTGACGGTGGGGGTAAGGGAGCATCCTGAAAATGGGGATTAAGGGAATGTCCATATATGTATACAGATTCTGTTATCTCGGGCCCCTCAAAACCTGTCCCTAGAGCCCCTACACAAGTCCTGCCAACCACCAGACTCCCTCACATGGAGCTTCAGTTTCCTATATAGTATCTCACATTTCAGGAAGGCCAGGCAAGGATTATGAGACCTTTGAAGAAAAACTTGTAAAGAAACACACCGAAACAAAGAGAAAAGAGGAATTTGGGAGGAACAGAGGCAATGCAAGGAAAGATGAAAACTTAAAAAAACTCATGATAAAATCTTCGCAAAGATGAGAGATGGTACTATGTTGTGAAAGAATAGGATGCTAAGAAAATGGAAAACAAGATGATGATCCTGGAAATAAATATGATGACAAAAATATTTTAATATTGAGAAGAACCGGAAGATAACAGTAGACTATAAAGAGGAAAATGAAGATTAACCCAGGATATGCAAAGTAGACTTTCTTGGAAAAGCTGCTTCAGCTTTTTTTCCCTGCCCTTTGCTCAAGTTTCGGCTCAAGAACCGGAAGATAAAAGTAGATAAAGAGGAAAATGAAGATTAACCCAGGATATGCAACATCTGAGTACTGGAGATCCAGAGGGAGAACAAAGAGAATTCTCCACTATCCAAGATAATGAATTTTCAGATGAAAATTTGCAGCACAACGAATGAAAAACAAAAACAAAAACAAAAAACCCCTCCACGTGAAGACACATCATTATAGAATCTCAGGATTCAAGGGAGAAAGGAAAGACCTTAAGAGCCTCCAGAGAGAGAAGCGCAAGTCATGTACGAAAGACTGGATGCCGGTGGCAATGGACTTCTCTGCAAGAACTTGAGAAATTAGGAGACAAAGAAGAAATGCCTTTAAAGTTGTGAAGGAAATTAGAATTCTTTACGCAGCCACACTGGTAATTGAGGGTGGGAAACAGCCTCAGTAAAATGAGGGAGTCAACCAAGACGGTGCCATGGGACCCAGGGACGTCTAGAGCTCAGGGAAGCCCTGGATGGCATAGAGGGACACCCCAAACAGCAGTAGTACCATAGACACAGGCTGAAGCAGAATGAAGGCTCCAGGGAGAAATGGAACCAGTGGGTGGTCAGGGCTGAAAGGATTCTTACAGTGCTTGGAGAGAATGTGAGGCTACATTACTGTCAGAGAAACTTGAGCAAAGGGCAGGGAAAAAAAGCTGAAGCAGCTTTTCCAAGAAAAACAAAAGTTGTCCAAGAAAGGAAATTAATCATAGTACACTTTGTGCCTTATCTGAGAACAGTGTTTATACAGTTCTGATGCTGAATATGGATTTGACCAGAATTTGAGCCTATTGGAGGAATGTGGGGCAGAGTGGGTGCACATGTATTGGGGCTATGGGTATGGAGAGCTTCCACAGCAATAACAACCCCACAAACATGGAATGCAGGCTTACCAAATGGGCAGGACTGTCCGTGTGCATTAACTCATGCAGCCATCACAACGATCCTCCGGAGCAGGTTGCTGTCATTACTTCCTTTTACAGCTGAGGAAACCAAGGCAGAGAGGTAAAATTGTTTGTCTAAAGTCTCACAGTTAAAACTAGTAGAGCCAGGATTTCAACCCAGTCAAGTTGATTGTAAAGTCTGTGTTTTAAACCACTATGCTCACCTGCTTCGGGGGTACAAAGGCAAGACATAATTTAAAACATCAACAAGTAGAAGTATAAGTAACCAACAATATGGAGATAAGTACCAAATGCCACGGTTAAAAGACTGCCTTAAAAGGAAGTGGAAAAGGGTAGGGAATTTCGTTTTTCGTGTAAAGCTATTTGACTTACATGATGGACACGTTACTTTTAAAAAACAACCAAAGGGGGAAACGATAGGCCACCAGTGATGAGGATGGCGGGTCTCTAGTTTTGACTGGTTTTGCCCAGCTGTGCAGCCTTAGTCCTCACCAACCTCAGATGCAGCTCCGTAGATGGTTTCCACGTTCCCTTCCACCTCTTCACATTCTGTGGCAAACAAGACGAGCAGTGATCTGGAGAACATGTGCCATAAAGAGAGTAAATCAGGGTGATGTGATGGGACTGAGGGGCTGGTGGGTGCTGCTTCAGGTCGGCAGCTCAGGGAGGCTTCTGAGAAGGCGCACGAGCCAAGTGGGGGAGGCCGTAGTGACTGCAAAGGCCCCAGCGTGGGCAGGCATCAGTGGGGTTCGTTCCAGGGGTGGCTGGAGGGAGATGAGGGGCGAAAGCTGACACCAACAGGGAAAGTCGTCGAGTTTGTAGCCGAGATTGACCAGGACTAGACCAGAGGGAACCGAGAAGGCCCAGTGGGCGTTGGGGAGACGGACAGTCCTTGGGTGAGGGTGAGAAACTTTGGATCCTGGGTACAACTTGCAGGCGTTGTTGACAAATCATTCTAGAAGACAGGATGCAAGTGTGGGAGACATGTTGGGGACGGCGCTTTCCAAGTATCTGGCTCCAGGGCTGCTGCAAATCCACCATCTTCTTGGCACTCATTTCTCTGGATCATTCCCCAGCGCACCTCTGTAAACAGCCCACGCTGTCCCTGTCGCTCTCCTGTGAACAGGCCCAAGGTTCTTTCCTGACGACCTGTACGTCTGTCCTTTCAGGCCTCCCATCCTCCCAGGCGCACCGCTCCTCCCTGTTCCTCCAGCAGCTGTCCTACCACCTACAGCTCCAAAGCGCCTGGGTCCTTCCTCCTCTCTCTCTGCACCTCCAGTTCCAGGCTCTCCTTGATTCACATCTTGACTTTCATACGTGAAGCATGCCTCCCCTTTAAGTCCCAGAACTCTAACCTATCCTTCCACCCTTGTCAGAGTAACCAGACCTAGAGCTCCTGTCATGTGCCCGTCCTGCTCAAGGTGTCCCAATGTATGCGCCACGGTTTGTATACAGGGCCAAGCCTTTCCAAGTACAGTTTGCCTGAAACCCATGGAACTCTTGACATTTCACGGGCCGGTGACAGAGACCAGGGCGGCAGAGGGAATGGGGTGGGCACAGGTAGGCAGATGTATTGGTCTGTTGAGACCACCATCCTCCCCAGACGCCATGAAGAAGTGAGGTGGCTAAAACCCATAGACTAGCCTTTGTTTGCTGAGAAGAAAGTGGAAGACCGATAAATTAAGTGTCACTTCTTCAAGGGTCACTGGCAGTGTGATTGGTGTCCAGGGGGTGTCACCCTCCAGGTGTTTCTGGTTGGTTGTGGGCTGCCGCTGGCAAGTGGACACATCTTTTGTTTTCCTGCCCAGGGTGTCTCATTTCCAAAGCCTGTCTTGAGGAAACCTGCCATCATTACACAGCACTGGGCAAGTAGGGCAGTGAAATGCCAGGCTTTGAAGAGCCGCCCACCCCTGCTCAACTTTGATTTCCATTTGAGTCACTTTTACAAAAACCACTTTTTTTTTTTTGATTACGTAACAATCTGTGGCCCAGACCCAGGTAGGCAGTAAATATTTACCTTCACACTGGAGCCAAAGTCACTGTGGTGAGTCACAGTAAGTCACAGGGAAGCATCATTACCCTCTAGGACCTTGAAAAAAGTACAGTTGTTAAAGGTTTGCTGGGTCATACTGCCAGGACTAGAATGTAAATTTAGTACTAAAACCTGAATTATCTCTCGTAGCCCATTACAGGTGTATATTCTATTCACGCACAGAGACGCACACGTTATATCTTTATATTTACTTCTCATTATGTGTTTTTTCTATAACAAGTATTTATTGTGTAATTTTTAAAGTCCTTTTAAAAAGATTGAGAACTGTTCAGAAAAACAGCAGTTCTTTGGGCTTGCTCCCAAGACAGGTTGTCTCCATCCAACAAGTATGTTCTCAAAATAAGTGCCTTTTCTCCGGAAAGTGACTGTAAAGGGTGCTGATGTTTTCTGGAACCTCAGAGCCCACCGTGGGATGGTCAAGTAGCAGACTCTGGGTTGTGTGGGCTTGAGAGCTGCTGCTGGAGCACGAACCCGAAATGTTTACCGTCTGGCCCTCACAGGCGAGGTTTCCAACCGCGACCGAGACCAAGAGCTCTCTCTCGTTTCTCTGACACGTGTAATACTTACCAGTCCTGCTTCCTTTCTCCTTTGCAGCATCTCTGGCCAGCATGGCCCACGTGTTTGTATACGGGACACTGAAGCAAGGCCAGCCCAACCACAAAGTCCTGCTGGATGACACCAATGGCTGTGCGACCTTCCAGGGCCGGGGCCACACGGTGGAGCCCTACCCCTTGGTGATCGCCGGAGAG